CTTAAAAAAAGAAAATCCAGTGCAGGTTTTTTGGTGTAATAAATACGAATAACAAAAAAGAGATTTTCCTGGGGAGAGTATTAAGAAGATAAAAAAAAATTAGGTGTGAAAATCCCCGTAGTAAACTCTGCTGATGAAACACTTGCATGAGGATTGGTTAGTTTAAAAAAAAAAAAAAAACTAGAAAAAAAATGCATGCACTTTCTCAATCGTTCTTCGAACAGCTGCGGACAAAAAGCAAGCACACAAAAGATGAAATTACAATTTCTGGAAGATTGATTAATTATACCGTATCAATAAACAAATGATAATTATTTTAGTTAAATTATATTTAAATCGTTCATTTCTTCAATATTTTTCTAAAAAATAATTAATCTGTATACAGTATGTACCTCATCTTCAATTTCAGAACAGAAGTTCAAGCAATAACTTTGAAGAATCTTTTTATTAATCAATCGAGAAACATCTTCCAACCCTAACAGATTTCACGAACATTGAAAACGCTTAAGGAGCGAGCTTACCGCCATGGAAAACAAACTGGCCACCCATCGATGATCGGTGCTCCATTATCTTCGGCCTGTCACGGCTTTAGAGGATTACACGTCGATTACGAGGCTCAATTTTAAACTGTCCGTCTACCCTCTCGCCTCGAATCGGCAACCCTTTGCGGGTTACTCCATGGTTTTACAATCAGTCACCCGTGCTGTGACACGAGCGACGGCTCGTCGAAGGGGTTGTTTCTTTTCGAAAAGCGGATTACGTTTCTCATTTTGTCCTCCTTCTTTTTTTTTTTTTTTCTTTTTTCTTTTTCCACACGTCGAATCGATTCTCCTGTGATCGTTATTGATCGATGGCTTTTTCGACCTGGAAAAGATCATTTATAAAAAAAAAAAAGTTTCGTTAGAAACTACTTTACCTGGAAAAATTTTCGACGTTTCGTATGATAATCGAAATAAAATTTGAGCATTATAAATTTCGTGATTTTGTTAACAAAATTCAATTTTGTTTGTTGAAGTTCGAATAAAAATTTTGTAAGAGGTTTGTTTTAGAATATTTTATATTTTCGAAGGGCGACGAAACTTTTTCAGGAGGTTTTTTAGGGGTAAAAGAATAATCCATAAACAGCAGAAAGGTTTCACGCTTTTCTCCGATTCTTCATTTTTTCTCTCTCTTTCTCTCTCTCTTTCTCTCTCCGTGACATTTTTCGCACGTCACTGTTTACTCCGATACAACCCCTTTTTGGTATTTCTAGGCGTGGTAGTATTTTATAGTAAAGGGTGCCGGCAAAAGGTTTTTGGAAATCAAATGATCGTAAAAACTTCATGCTTTTGTTTGTAGACTTTTGTTGGTTTCACTTCTTCCTCCTCCTTTTTTTTTTTTTTTATATCTTTTGAATTACGATTTGTCGTTCAATTGAAAAAGATAAATTTTATACATATATTTCTAGAAACGATTTAAAAATTTTCTAGAAATATTCCACGAAGAATATTTTATTTATTTCTATCTCAACATAATTCTTTTTGTATATTTCTTTTTCCAAATCCATTCTTATTGTGATAGTATTTATAAATCAATACATATTATTATAAAATTAAATAAGTAGGAGGATAAGTATGAAACTTGTCACTATTAAAGGTGCAACTCAAGTTTATCGAACAAGGAGAACGAAAAATCCATCGTAGCATTAGAAAGTACTTGATGCGTACTCGGTACTTTGAAATTTCGAAGACCCCTCCAGTGTACGCCGCCATAGGTGCCCCCAGGTTTTTTTTCAGTATGAATGATGATGTATGGATGTTGGCTGGGCGCTAGGGGCTGGGTAAAGGGTTCCATTGTTGGACACCCCCCTCGAGAATCGAACCCTCTCTCTCTCTGTTCGCAGGAGAGACCATCGTGAAATATTGTCGGCGAGTAACAAACTACATTCTGCAAGCTGTATACTGTTAATTTTATGCCGGATTTTTTTTTCTTCTCTCTGCCCACTTCATGGGTCCCCTCCACTCCCCTTGTGCTGCTTAGATTTGTCGCGAAAAAAGATCGTTACCGATGGAATTTTTTTACGGGGAAACGATTCACTTTTTCATCATTTTATGGTTTTCGAATTTTTAATTCTATCTCTAAATATATTTTCTTTCTTTCTTTAATTTTACATAAGGAAAACTTTTACGATATGTCGAGTATGGATTACATCGGGCACGTGTTACATCTATCCCATTGTTCTTTTTATGCGTAAAGAGCTGTCTACAACATCCTTTGATTCTTCTTTTTTTCACATGAATATGCGTCCGGTATAATGCAGCTGGAATTACACCTTTGATCAAATTTCTTTGAATAATATATATATATATATACCATAACGAAACATATGAAGTGTACAACTTTCCAACTCTGCGATTACTCCCTTCTACTTTTCGATAAGAATCTACACTCAAGAAAAAAAAGACTACTACCTTTTCTTCTTAAATCTTACACAATCTCGAATCTCTCTTAAGAATCAAAATCTCTCAACGATTATGTCCATATATATATAACATTAATATCAAATGAAATATAATTCGATTCTTCGAGGATCAAAAAGAAATAGAATTAGAAAACGAAGAGAGAAATACACGTGATTTCCAAATGGCTGCCAGAGGGTTAGATAAAATACTACTGACAATATAGATGATATATCAAACGTACTTCACAAAAAGAAAAAAAATACCACCATTCGAAAAAGTAACTCTCTTAAGAATCAAAATCTCTCAACGATTATGTCCATGTATATAACATTAATATCAAATGAAATATAATTCGATTCTTCGAGGATCAAAAAGAAATAGAATTAGAAAACGAAGAAAGAAATACACGTGATTTCCAAATGGCTGCCAGAGGGTTAGATAAAATACTACTGACAATATAGATGATATATCAAACGTACTTCACAAAAAGAAAAAAAATACCACCATTCGAAAAAGTACAATCATCTCCGATTCTCGATTGGAAAACGAAACGCGGTGGGACACGTGAGCGAGGAAATTAACGCCGTTATTTGCTCACGGGCACGCATAAGAACCCCATCAACCCCCGCGCGGATATTTGCCTAACGTGTTTGTTCGGGAATATGAATCAGTCCACCTGGAAATGAGAAAAAGGAGAGAGGGAAATTGGAACGAGGGACGAAAGGAGATCCACGATTGTCGTACGTATTTGCCCGGCTATTTATCACGGTTTATTATTTCCTATTGTCGATGGAGTCACGCATTGTTGGCGGACGAGGAGGGCCGCGGCGAATTTCTAAAACCGTGTCCGATCGAATTTGCATATATCGGCCTGGGACGCGTGTCAGGCGTCCGATTACAGGCCCTATTAATCGCGGTTCCGCATTGTTCTTCGCGATATCAAATTTTCCCCCTCCTTTGATTCTCCTTAGGTTGCCCGTCTTTTAAAAGATTTTGATACAGCGGTCGAGAGATTAATTTAACGGATGGATCATTTATTTGGTTATGTTAATTGGTTTTAATTTTTTTAGATTGAGTTACAATCGTAGTTAATTTTTTTTTTTTCTTTTCAAGTAAAAGCTATCGAAATTATTCGTCTATTTTTTATTTAACATTTTGATACGATAAATATAATAGCTGTTGTAAAAATGTAACCACGTTCGATTTTAAAAAAAGTATCGCGGTTATTCAAGGAACGAGACCCAAGGTCCATTACGAGATGGCAGTTTTAGAGGCTTGAACCTTGAAGAGGCAGCACTAATCAAAAGTGGTCCACGGAGACAGATTGAGGGGCGTGCTGAAATAAATCAGCCCTTTGTTTTACGGCTTTAAAACGGCCGTTGGGGATTTCGAACGCCAAGTTATATACGTCCATTCATTAGAAACACCCCAGCTGCGAGATCGAAAAGACTTGGTCGGCCATTCAAAAACTGCGTAATCGTTGTTCTCTAATACGAATTATACCGTTATATCACTCCTCCTCTACAGTTTTAACTACGTCTACTATATTTTATTCGAAACTATTTATTCGAAAAATTATATTAATTTCCGGAGGATAATATCTCGAATACGTTTTGATTATCCAAAATTTGGAAAAAAATACATTTGAACGAACGAGTCATCGGATGATAAGCCAGGAAGAAGCAAATTTGTTAATATTTCGCAAATATATATATATATGTAAGAGGAAAAGTTGATGAAATGGAAGTTGTGTTCATCGATTTGATGAAAGGAAAGGGTTAAACGATGCATTGTAGCGGAAGTGATGAGAATTAATGATTTTGGAGATTTATCCTGCATCCCACAGGACCTTGTTGATGAAAGGCAAGGATCCTTCGTGTAATGACCTGTCTGTGAAGAATTTAATTTCCTCGCACCCTTCTTGTATCGATGACTAAGATGGGTTATTATTCACAAGTTAGGAGAATTTTAAAAGGTTGTATTTTAATATCGACTAGATATAAAATGGAAAGAATATGAGATTAATCAAGGTATGCTGTTGGATACTTTATATTTATCGCAATGACAATAAAAAATAAATGTTAAAAGTGGAAAGTACACTATTGCGCGGTTGTTTCTATAATCGGTCATAAATCAAAAATATTTATAAATTTCCCAGACATTGTTATATAATTATACAGGCAATGGCGGAGATAAGTAGACGTCGATAATTTATTTTTAAACAGAATCGCGCAACGTATAACCGGTGGTTATAAATTGTTTCAATTGTAAAATATTTGTTGTAAAAATTAATTTCCAATCAAAATTTTCCACAAGTTTTATATCGAAATCGAAAATGTAAAATTCTATCCTTAAATCTTTGAAAATAGATAAATAATAACAAATATTTTTATTTCTTCCAACGAGGCATAGCATTTCAAATATATTTTAACATCATTTAAAAATTTTTTACTCTTTAACAATCTACTCTCAGCGAGTCGAGTTATGAAATACATAAAAACATAAAATCAAACGAAAAGGAAAAAAGAAATCTTATATTCAAAATATAATAACGCAATACAATATCCAAATAACAATAATAATAAATTGCTCGAGCAATTTTAATTAATTAATATTCTATTTTCAAATTTTCCTCGCCTACGAAATGCCGCCACGACGACATTATATTTTTTGAATATCGACCGATAAACGTACATCGATGAACCTGAGCGTGCAAGAATACACGATAATATATTATTATTGCGCGGGCGCGGGTCAATAATCGAGCACGTTGCCTGGCGACGGTGCTCCTGCTCTCTCTCAGCCTCCGGAATTTCTTCTTCTGCGGACTAGTCCTGCAACCGCGACTCGCAGAAGTCCAGCAACCTTCGATACATCGGCATCGGACCGGTTTCATACTCTCGCTCACGAACACACGCCGTTAAACGCTTGGTAAGTCGAACCCGGACGATTTAGATCGAACTTCGCCCGTTCGTTCGTTTTGTTCTTCGATTCGACAATTCACCACTTTGAAGAGCGTTCCCACTCTCTCTCTCTCTCTCGTTCCACTCTTTTATCGGCCGTCGCTCGCCTTTTTTTCGCCTCGAATTCGAAAGTTCAAAAGTAAAATTTCGAGTGTTTCGATAACACTTGTATTACGTTTCAATCGATATCGATATTGGAGTATTAAGAATTTATCGATATTGGTTTTTTTATTCTTGTACTTTTTCGGCCGATCACCGAGTTGAACGCAAAAGAGGCAAAGAGAGAAGTGATATATTCTCGATATTCCAAGTTATCTACGTTGTTTAAGTAGGATAATCTGCGTTGTTGCTTCTTTTTTTAGATTCTAGCGGTTGGACCGTTCGCTAGTTATGTGGAGGAAAAGTAGACAGTTGGCAAATCCCCGAGTTTGTCCATCAGAAGTAGAAAGTGAACGTGATAAAGGAGATGGAGGAAGGTATTGCGCGGTATTAAGTGAAGTCGAGAATAGATTCGAGAAGCTGTGCGGATTTAAATTAGGCGATCTCTCGTCATTCGAAAGCTTCGCTGCGCTTTTGTATCGACCGACTGATCCAGCTAGCTTAGGAGTCGTTCGAGCACTCTTTGGTAACTGAGTTTTCGATTCTATTGATTAATAAATGAAATTTATTTATTTGGCAAAAAAATGAAATGGCCACACAGGACTATGCATGGTGTTGGACGTGGTGGAAGAACGAGGATTGGGTGACGTCGATATAAAATGGGGAGATCCTATGGAGTGTCATTTCCCTTTGATTCACGGAATGAAACCGTTGTCGTTGCCATGGATGATATCAATTTACACGATAATGTGGATAGGCGCTTTTGGAATCATGCTCGGCTCGAGGTTCAAAATAGCTTGCGCCTGTTTCCTGATTCCTTATTGGTACATCTTCCTGCTGGACAAGAGCTATTGGAACAATCATACGTACCTCTACGGTATCGTTGTGATCCTCTTCTGGGGCACGGGGGCTGACAAATACTTGTGAGTGTGAAATTAATTAAAGTAGCGATATTATGGTATGTATAATTGAAGAGATGGAAAAAAATCTTATCCTTAATTTAGGAGGAATATTTTGTAATTTTGCAGCGCATTGGATGCCACTGAAACGAAAAGAAGTGTAAATACCGTACCGTTGTGGAACTACTTCATCTTGAAGTTCCAATTTTTCGCGCTGTATTTTTTAGCTGGATTGAAGAAATCAGGTGTTGAATGGTTATCGGGATACGCCATGGCAAATTTGTCAAGGCATTGGGTCTTCAGCCCGTTTAGGTAGGTTTAATCAAAGAATCTTGAAGAATCGAAGATTGGACATTTGTAAAGTGTCTAAGTGTACCAAAATTGAAACATTTTTATAAAAATGATTTTTTAATTTGCCAATTGTCGTGCATTAATGATATAAGAATATATAGAATTATTAATAGTACAGAGTATACGATACATTTTTGTCATTTACGGTTTTTTTTTTTTTTTTGTATTATATTTAGTCTCCAATTGTACCTTATCAGAAATATTGAACTTTTATAGTCGATAAATTATTGCACCATTTCAGATTATTCTTGACCACCGAGCAAACTGATTTTTTCATAGTTCACTGGTTTGGATTTATCTTTGACCTTACCGTTGGATTTTGGATGCTGTTCGATAAAACTCGTATCCCTGCAATGGTATTTTGTACTGCTTTCCACTTAATGAACTCTAGGTTATTTAGCATTGGTAAGCATTCCCACACCATTCTCTGCACGTATTCTCTCATGATGGATAATTCCATAATTCGAAGGAAAAATCATACCGTTACGAATATTATATTAATTTCAGTGTTTATCCTCAGGAATGTTTCCATACGTGTGCCTTGCGACAATGCCACTCTTTTGTAAACCAAATTGGCCCCGAAGACTCGGCATTTTCCTCAAACGTAAATCTTACTTTTCATTTTCTGCGAAAATTCAGGATATAAAGATCTGTAATAAAGCCACGATAGATCTGCCGAAAGTGTGGCACGATAATCTAAGTGGAAATGGGTCATCGATCGATAATGGAAATCGAGAAAGTACAAATTCGATAAACTCTACAATTACTTGTAAAAACACGAAGAGAATCGATCGAGGAAAATCGGCTAAAGTGACGAGGAAGCAAAAGTTCGTAGTTTCTCTGTTACTATTCCATGTATTCTTGCAGTTTTTCTTACCATACTCTCATTTTATCACGAAGGTACACTAATAATAAGTTCCTGATTACACCAATCGTTTACTTTTATCTTTTTCTTTTCTTTTATTTTTTAATACATTCGTTTCTTTCTTTTTTTTCTCTCTCTCTCTCTCTATTATCAGGGTTACAACAATTGGGTACCAGGAATGTACGGATACTCTTGGGATATGATGGTCCACGTTTGGGACACTGTACTCGTCGTGGTTAAAGTTCACGACAACGCGAGTAACGAGGATCGTTATTTGGATCCTACAGCTTGGGTACAGAGTAATAGGTGGGAGAAACATGGTGACATGCTCGTGCAATACGCCTCTTGTTTGAAAGTAAGTGTTATCTTTATCAATAAACACGTGCCATTGAATTAAGTAATAGCTAAGAAATCAGAGATTCTTTTTTATTTATGAATCCAATGGAATTTTTAGATTTTTGAGAATAAATTTATTTTAAATTTATTTTAAAATTTTGTGAAAGTAAATAATGTGTTATCGTTATTGAAATTCGTATCATAGAATTAAGCAATTTTCCTTTGAAGAAAGAAATTTTTTCTTCTTCTTTTACAAATCCAATGTAATATTTAGAATTTAAAAAGACTATACCAGGAAGTTTCATATTATCTGTATAGCGGAGAATAATTTAATATTCGCAGGAGAATTTGATTAAGCAGGAGAACCAATTTTTCGAGAATAATTTCCAACGCGATAAAAGGCCAAAATGGTCGCGATTGTCATCGAATTTGAGTATCTATATCGACGTGTGGTGCTCGTTAAATGGAAGATTCCAACAGAGAATGTTCAATCCAAATGTTGACATGTTAACGGTAGATTGGCATCCTTTTAAGCCCATCTCGTTTTTAATGCCACTTCTTTCCCAGTATAATTCTTACAGGTATGGATAAACGTAATTCATTTAGTTTAATGTTTCACGATTATTTCATCGAGAATTATATCTTATAAAATGCTGTAATAAACTGTGATAAATCTCCATCATTATTTTTCACGGTATAACTCTTTTCTTAATTCAAAATGAGAATAATTATTAAAATTAAAATTATAATATAAGAGAAATATTCTCTTGAGAAATTAATTATTTGATCCATATATATCTAATTTTCAATTTATATTAATGCAGAATATTATTGTTACATTCTATTTAGATACAAGTTGGAAGAAATTCAGCAACAAATTTACACTTGGTCCAACGACACCGACGTCCTCTTCGTTGCCGATTTTCCAGGCATGCATTTGGATAATTACATCACCAAAAACTTCACCAACGTCACGTTAACGGTACTCGAAGGTGAAGTAACCTACAGCGACGAAAAACGGAAACACGACATCATGGTAGGAAAGGGATCATCGATTCTGATAGAAACGGGACAATTTCACAAAGTGAAAACTATTAGCGCTTATCCAGCTTGCTATATGTACACCTGTACCAATCTGAACAAACAGCAATCAGAAACTAATGGGTATTTCACAATTTTACAAATTTCTAAAAATACATAGACAATTTCTTAATCGTTAAATATCTTCATTAAATTCTTCAATTATTTACTTGCTTTGGAAAAATTAAAATATGTTTCAATCTAATTAGGGAACAATATTGCAATATAGATTTAAAAAATACAATGATTCTTAATTTTTTTTTACAGGACAACAGAACTTGAAGAATCGAAAGAAGTTCTACCAATCGCAAAGGAAATAAATTATAAAATCGACGCTTGGATAAGAGCGTTCCATCACATTGCGAATGCATTTTTCTATTTAGTGTACGACGTGCCCATGGTTCGAAGGGTGCAGATAAGCAATTAATTAATTTAATTCCTTTTATTATGAAGTAAAGCGATTTCCGTTTCCTCGAATGAATAATTATTTAAAAGTAGGAAATGGGAAGGCGAAAGAAAAAATTTATTTTTTTACCTGTCGAGGGTAAAATTGTGATAACGATTCTCAGCGAATAGCGTTATGATTAGCTACATACGATTAATTGTTACAAATTAAATACGTTTGAAGATAATTTATTATAATTTTATCAGTTATCTCGCGTCAAAAAATATGAGAAGTGGGAAGAAAAACTTTTCACCTTTGAGAGTGCGAAGATAACGATTGTAACATTGTAACGTCTATTATTAGTTCTTAATAAAAAAGATAAAGTAGAAGACGATCGTAATCATCAAGTACGTCGATTCATCTAAGCCTATTATTTAGAATCGCATCTCATAACACGTTCGAATCTCTTTTCTCACTTAACGTAATTAAAGAACGGTGACGCGAAATTAATCTCAAGGATATCGAACTTGCGATCGTGCAGATACATGTGATCGATTATATTGTTTATAGATAAATAATGAAAGTAAACAATCCGCATCTTTCTTCTATTAATCATTGATTAACGGATAATCGTGGAAATTTATTGACAACATTACAATAAATATTCAACGTGAGACGTAATATCCAATAATTTTATATAATGATAGATGGAAAATTTAATTTCAGGATAAATAATTTTTACAATTGAAGCAGTCAAGAAGTTTGGTTCGTTTAAAGAAATAATTCTTTCGAAATTGATGACAAGATACTGGAATCAATTTTGTAATTCTCGACGCAAGATAACACAAATCGTTAAAATTAACGAACTGTGGCTGTGAAATGTACACAATTAAATATTCCCTCTCTCCTTCTTTGGCGTAGTAACGCTTGTTGTAAATCTCGTACGCCTACGTTAATCGCATAAATTTGATAGCTCGTATCATTGTAATAAGCTTTCTCGTCTGATAAGTTGTAAGTAAATGCATCCGGTGAATCTGTTCATCATCTCAGTAACGTACCTACTATTTCATATTATCTCGTTTTCGACAAAGCTTGTTCGAATTACGATGTTATCGTCAACGCAATATAAAATGTGTTGCCACCTGTTTTCTTTACGATATTGTTTTTATCAATATTTTTTTTTTTTTGAGAATAATTATAGAAATAATTTCTTAATGGTTTATATAGGTACTTTTAAAAGATTGTATATCCAAGATAAATTGTTTTTGAAAAGGTTTATATTATTTTTCATCAATGAGTTATTTTATTTTTTTTTATGATTATTATTGTTTTTTTTTTGTATATTTTATGCTTTGTTCAAAAATTTATTAATTTTGATTTAGTGTTTAGATATTTTTTAAAGTAATTATATAGATGGAAATGTAAAAATCACAAATATATATTAATTTATTCTCTTTTTAACGAGTTAAAAACAGGTTTACGGTTTAATAAGCGCGAATGTGGAAATCTGTCGAGAAAAAAATCTAATAAAATGAATCTTTCTAGATAAAAAATCAAGATTAACAAGTGTACGATAAATATTTATATAAAATTTCCATGATTAATCTTTAGATATAGAATCGTGAGTCGACGGAGTCCATTCTTGAATCGATGGAATTATGTCTCGTTTAAGAATCGAGGACACTGACACGAGTGAATCAACCCGATTATCATTATCATACTATTGCAATATGCGTAATTTCTATTACGACTTTACCTGACCAGTATGCTTATCTAGATACGTGGTGGAGGAAACGAGTGTCGATCGTAGTCAGTCGCTCGTACACGTTCAGAGGCCTTCGACACATGAAACGATGTAGTGGAATCGTTGTTGATAATACAATTGATCAATCGTGAAATAGGTGAACGTTAAGGAAAAGTGTAAACGATTTTGGAGTGACATGATCGGACTATTGATTATTTTCAAGTTTATTTATTGAATGAAAATAATTGAACGATGATTGTAGTAATGTAGTAAGTGAGAAAATATTGGTGATAAAAAAAAAAAATTTGTGGAAAATTTGTAAATTTGTATACGAGGGAATAGATATACAATGAAATATGAATGATTCTTGATCGATTAAAGATCTCTCTTGAGATTAAGAAATGAAAGATTGAATTTGAAGTGGATTCGAAGTGAAAACAATTTTGAAGAGAATATTAAGTAATCGGTTAGCATTATTTCCTAGTTTTGATATCAGCGGTATACTTTACATTTCTTTTGAATATGAATATTCAATACAGGTTCACCCATTAAAATCAAATTTATTAATCTTCGTTCCAAATAGTTTGAAAATCGTTTATTTCTATTTCTCAGAGAAAAGTAAAAAAAAAGTAAAAAACATGATAACTGATCAAGATAACGATATAGAAAGAACGAAATCCACGGATCCTCTTTTGGAGGCGCTCGATAAATTGGGTTGCGGATCCAACTTTCTATGGATAATATTTATTTTTACGCTCACGCCGACTATATTCAATGGAATGCACTCTATGTCCTATATCTTTATTGCAGAAGTAAGATTAACTCATTAATCGATGAATGGTACATTTGATATCTCCATAGATCTGGACAACTTTTGTTTAAAATTAAAATAAGAAATATTTCAAATAGTAATTATATTATAAATAGATAAAAATATTATTTCTCATAGGTCCCCACGCATTGGTGCGCAATACCAAGTTTGACTGCTGCAAATTGGACAGATGAAGAAATAAGAAATATCTCTTCCTCCGGTTCGTGCACGATGTATAATTACGATTACGAGTATTTCGCGCATATTGGATACGAGGAAGCTTTGGAATACAAAATTTCTCACACCCTACCCGAGTCGATCCCTTGCCAATCGAGGAGCTTCGCAAACGATATCGATGGAACTTCTCTCGTTCAAGACGTGAGTATTAGATAACGATGATAACCACTATCCTATTTTCCCCCTGAGCTGTTCTCATTCTCGTCAGAAATTCTTCTTCTTTATCCCGTTCGATTCTCAATATTTCAACGACATCTACATCATTCACAATTAATTTTAGATATAAAACTCGAAAGATATATAAAATTATCTTCATCGATATATATTTGTGTCCTCTTGAAATTGAATTCTTTTGAAAAAAGTTGTCAATAATTTAATTATATCATGATTGAATTTCATTCACCGATTTTATTAATAAATAATTTTTAGTGGGATTTGGTGTGCGAAAAAACAGCTGATCGTTCGAGCACTCACATGGCTTTGTCCCTTGGAAAATTATTGGGCAGTGCTTTTTTCGGTATTGTGGCGGATAAGTACGGTCGCAAGATATGTTACGCCGTTGGTATAATAATGTTGATCACGTCTGGTCCAGCCGGTGCTGTTGTACCGTGGTACTGGGCTTTTATAATCTCGAGGCTAATTAATGGTGCCAGTCACGCTGCTATACAATACTCATCTTTCACGACACGTAAGTTGTATTAACGAAGCTGTGACATATATATTTAGCATTAATAAAAAGAAAAAAAAAATCATTAACACGAAAACTTTTAAGATATTCTATTTCACAAAATATTTTAATAAAATCTTCAACCACGTATTATTTGATGGATTATATTTCGCTATGATCAGTGTATAATTTTCAATTGTTCATATTGTACAGTTACAGAGGTAGCAAGCGAGAAACATAGAAGGTGGATGGGAATCGCTTACAACACTGGATACGCTACAGGAATAGTCATTGTACCGGGTATAGCTTATTTGTTACACGAATGGAGACACATTCAATTAGCGATATCTTTGCCGGCTCTGCTTCTGTTAATACATCTATGGTAAGTACACAATTATGTAATGTGCTAATATCATTGGTTGTCAAAAATAATCTTGTCGTTTTTCGAAAGAATTCTTCTTTGAAAGAATTCGAATTGAATTAATCCAGGAATTTAATCGATATTCTATTTTTGGAGACATTTATTATAATGAATATAAAGATAATTTTATTTTTAGGTTCATGCCGGAATCTCCAAGATGGCTGATAGCGCATAATCGTCGAAAAGAGGCGAAGATGTTGATCGATAAGGCGTCTAAAATAAATCAAATTGAAAGAACGACCACGGTATCGTTAACCATAAAAAAGCAAGAATTGAGAGATACGAATGATATAACGTTTAATCCGAAATTGATATCAAACAGCATCGAGGATAAATTGCACAAAAATATCAAAGGATTTCAAGTGCTAATTAGCAACTGTGAATTACGAAAGAGAATTCTTATCACGAATTTTACTTGGATGACTGCGTCTCTGACTTATTATGCGTTAGGTAAATACCAGGCTTTATCCACGATAAAACTTGAAAAATTATCTTTAAAAGTTCTGATTGTATTTTTTTTTTAATTGTATTCGTTCTATTTTTTTTTCTCTCTTTTTGGAAGTTGTTTTTATCAACGATACATGTATTACATTTCAGCGTTAAACGTGAACAATTTCTCAACAAATCGTTACATTTACGTCCTCGTAATGGGTCTAACCGAAATACCGGCTTACTTGATACCAACTCCTATTCTAATGATAATAGGACGACGCCATGGAAGTGAGATTTTATACATCATTGCTGCGCTATGTTTATTGTGCATTCTAGCCATACCGACCAGCGAAACGGATGTGATTATGGTTATATCTTTGATCGGAAGGTTTAGCGCATCGGCCGCTTATGGCATAGTTATTTTATACAGCTCGGAACTTTTTCCCACGGTAAATGCACCTTCATTCTTTTGTATCATAGAATTTTTATCCATTTCATATTTCCAATCTAATGGTTCTAACCTCTTGCCTTGTAATTTCTTCAGATAATACTTGAACTCATCTTTACCTTTTTACAGAATTTATTTATTATTTCTATTTAATCTGTCATATATATAATCTCTTCGATAATTTTTCAAATCCCATAGAAATTCATATTCAACTTTGCATATCGTAGAATTTTATTTTCTATTTATTTTATTTTCTATTATTTTATTTTCTATTTATTCCCATGGTATTTTTAATCCATTAATGGATCGACTCCTCGCCTTACAATCTCTTGAACAGATTTTCAGATAGCATATAAAATAACACTAATTAATCTTTTTTTTTACCATCTTTGAATTATTCTCGAGAACAGGTGTGCAGGAATTCTGCAGTCGGTACCAATTCCGCGATGTCCCATATTGGAAGTGTGGCTGCGCCTTACGTTGCTGATTTATTAGGAGCCGTGATATGGTGGGGGCCAACAACGCTTTGCGGTGGTTTAGCGCTAATAGCTGGTTTGTTATGCTCGATATTGCCTGAAACACGCGGCAGGCCTTTGGCGAACACGGTAGACGAGGAAGTCACCGAGGGAAGAGAAAACGTGTCTTTCCACAATTGCTGCAAGTGTCGATGAAAAACTGATAAAAACCTGGATACACAGTACACTGCCGATCAAAAGTTTCAAATCGTTAATCGTGCATAAGAATAATTTAGTAAAGAAAAGAATTGGAATTCCGTTGAACTGGATATCTGTGATATTGATTTCGAACTGATAATAAAATTAATGGAAAATTTGATTTTTGATCGACAGTGTATCTACATTTCGTTTCATATTGCTTTTATACAAGGTAATATTTTATATAAGTTATACGTTGTTTCACTCGTTTACAAAGGAATTCGAAATCTGCCAAATATTTTTTACCCAAGTGTGTTGCTTTAATTTTGAAATGGAAATAAATTTGTATACTGATTTATAATACGCATAGCGATCCGAAAATTCTTTCTATTCCTTTTTCGACGATATTTCATTTCATGTCCAAAGTTCTAACATTATATTTGACCGAACGGTCTAACTCGTTTACAGTGAATAATTCTCTCTCGTTTATTAAGTGTTATATAATAAGTTAACTATTGTAATTATCGTACATATCATGTGTATATATATATATGGAAAAAGACACGCGATTATTTTAATTTGAACATATTTCCTGTGTTGATAACAATCTTTTATTGTATTATTCCATATAAAACAAGCAATACAACGAATAATATCTTCAATGTAACATATTGCAAGATAGTCTCGCGTTGAAAGAAGGCGTAATGTAAATTCGAAGCATGAAGAATTTATCGTTCATTTATTTGTGGTTTATTCTCTGTTTCGTAAGAATAGATTACATATATTATTTATAAATTATACATTTATGTAATTGTAAGATATTGTACTATTCAGGGGCTTCAAAATTTACGTGCAAGAAGCATCAATATTTTTGATCAAGATATTGCAGAGTGCATGGATCGATCAAACATGACATTTCGTAAGTAAAAATATCGTAACAAAGTTGAGATTATCACGTAGTAAAATCGACCTTCTTCATTAATTTTTAAAATTTATCAAATTCATAACTTGTGATTTGATCAGGTATATTTACACTAGTAAAAATTATTTTATAGTTTTCTTAAAAAAAAAAAAAAAAAAAAAAAAAAAAAAAANACAGAAAGAAAATGAACTCCTCACAAATTGCAGATGAATTAATGAAACTTCGTGACTCGTCGGAGGCAAGAATAAAATTAATAAACGAAGAGGAAAATTTCAGAAGCTATGGCTGTTTCTTAGCTTGCATTTGGCAACAAATTGGCGCGGTAAGACATCCACGCGAATCCACGTGCATCCAATAAATTAACACGTTTTCTTCTTTATTTTTACTTTAGATGAATGGCTCCGAATTGAGCACATATAACATAGCAGGAATTATCGAAAAACAATATCACGATGACGAAGATCTGAAAACATTTTTCCATAAAATCGCGTTAACGTGCGAAGATGACATCCACAGAAAATGTAAGTAAATTGCATTTATTATTGCACTTATTATCAATC